ATTAGAGTTCACTTGTCTTGTTGAACATCCCACAATCTAGATTTTGCTGATGGTTTCCTCATGATGATATTTAGGCTAAATGTTTGAGGCAAGAACACTCTGCAGGTGACACTGTGTGCTTCCTGCTGCACATATCAGGAGGTCCTTCATGTTTATGATGCTCAGTTATTTGGTTAAGGAGATATCCATCACATCTCTCCATTGTAAAGACACCTTTTGACTTTTTTCATTAATAGTCACACTGTGGATGTTAAAACTGTTTTTAGGGGGCAAAAGTCATCTACTTTTCCTGCAAAAACCATCTTTCTTCCATTGTCTCATCAAAAACCCCACTATGGTGTGGTTATGGCTGACACCAGCCTCCAGGAGGCTGCTCTTATAGCATGAAGATTCATGATTGTAATCGTTAATAACCATAACATTTCCTAATGTCTTGTAGCATTTTACAGTTTATAGAGCATTTTTGCACATGTTGCAGCTTTTGATTTGCCCCAAATTCCCTTTTCATTGTCCAAGAAGTAAGATTGCTTAGAATCATTCACTCGCTCATTCACCCATCCATTCATCCAGACCACATGCCAGCCACTGGTCCAGAAGCCAGGGCTTTCATAAATGAATGAAGGGATCAGATCTAGGTGGGGAGACCAACAGGCAATCTTTTCCCAAACAGTGTCACTGCAGCGGTAAGACAAGCTCTGGGGTAGAGAACATGGGGTTGAAAGGAACCAGCTGAAAAGAGAAGCATAGAGAAGTAGAAACTGAGGCTCCACCCTGCCCTATCCACTATCACATGAGAAACTCTATTTCTCTCCCTTTTAAAGCACTGTGAGTTGGGTTTTCTGTTTCCTGCAGCCAAATGCGTCCTGATACTCTCAATGTTCTCGCATTGCAGGTGAGGAAATGAAGTCCCCAGAAGTAAAATGATTTTGCCAAATGACACTCAGCTAGCAAATGCCCGAAATGGTTCTTGATCATGGGTGATTGATTCTAAGTCCCTCACTTGTGTCCTAGGGGAAGAGACAGGAAGATCCCCTGTTGTCTGAGTCTTGATGAACTCCCTGGCTCTTCTCTTCTGTACACAGTTCAGAGATGGCTAGACAGAAGGAAGATGCCCAGTAACACTTACTCAGGTGCTCTGAGTGCTGGTCACTTCCCCCTTGTTGGTTAAGTGGTGGGCATTTCAGGATACAGAGCACTTTTATTAAGTTGAGCACTATTCACATGGACAGACAGTGGGTGTGCACGTTCAGTCAACCCAAATAGACGAACATACTGTCTGAAGGCCACAAAGTGCCCCATGAATAATTCCCTGTAAATACACAACCAATGCCCACACTTCACAGAGACTGATTGAATGTGTAAAAGACTGAAGGGCTCAGGGAACAGGAATTAATGGATGGAAGGAATCTATGTGGTTGAGGTCAAAGAGTAGGCTCAGTGTAGCAGAGAGCCAGGCTCACCAGCCTGCTGTGAATTTGAAGTATGGGGGCAATTAGGCATGAGCTATTTGTAGACAGAAGGAAAAACGGTGAACTAAATGGCTTAGGCTTAGTACCACGTGCAGGTTGGATGCAGGCGACTGTCATCCTCAATACAGGCTGCAAAATGATGCCAAGGGTCACCCTCATAGAGGGCAGGGCCCAGTGTTGGAAACATTTAAAGTACGACTTCTGAGCTTTAAAAGAGACATTGTATATATAGATCAACAGGAAGGTCAGGAATTCTAAAATCCTGGCAGCTAATTGTCCCACTTCACCTTAAGTAATTTTGCTAGAGAATGCTGATGCAGCCTGTATTTGTGCTGTGTGTGTGTGTGTGCGCGCGCGCATGTGTTTATGCGTGTGTGTGTGTGTGTGTGTGTGTGTAGAGGACGTAGTAAGAGGGAAAAAATGTGGCATTTTTGCCAGCATTTGCCTTTTTTTTTTTTTTTTTTGTCTTTTTTTCTTGCTGTTCTCCACCCCTACAATAAGCTGAGCCAGTGTAAGTTACAATTTATTAGCTGGTTGCTATGGGTTACACCAGTGCTCTGCAGATATTCCCTTCAGAAATAGTAACATTTAATGTAATGTAAAACAGAACTACTGTATCACCACTTGCTTGGCTTCTGCTGGCTTGCAATATTATATCCTTCCCTGCTGAGCTTGAAGCCTCAGGAAATTAGCTGGTGCCATTATTTTATGATGATGATGGGTGTCTGCCATACCCCCCTTGTTTCATGAAAAAGACAGCCTGCAAACCGAGGGTGTCTGCAGGACCTGGGGTGCCAACTTGCAGTGCCGTGCAGTGCCCAGAGACTGACTGTTTGTTTCATCTGCCTGTTCATTATTTAAGGCAGTCTTCTCAAAGCTGAGTCCCTGTGGGCCCGGGGCCAGTTACCATTTCAGGGAGGCTAGCTGTAACTACCAATGAATTTTATTTATTCTGCCATCTGTATAATATTTGTGGCAGGCTGGTTAACAAAAATTTGTGGGCTGGTAAATTTTCAGGATAATTTAACTGTAAGAGTGATTTGAAGGGGAAAGGTTAGAAGATGGTGACCCTGAGTAAAGCCATTCAAGTTAAAATAAACAGAATAGAAGAGAAACGGGTGTTTTCAGGCCACCCACATTCTCTCTTTTCTGCCTGCTCTCTCTATTGCCCACCCACCTAACCACTACCCCTCTCAGAGTACACCTTTTCCTGCCCGTGTGCTCAGTCTCTTCTCTCGCCTGCCCACAGAGGTGTGCTCTCTTTTACAGGCAGGACACTAGGTTGCCCTACAGATGATGCTTCCCTAACAGGGTCCACTAGTGTAGGAGGAGTGCTAGGGTGGTAAACAGAATGTGGGCTCTGGAAGATCTAGGTTCAAAGCCTGGCTCTGCCACTTCCTGGTTGTGTGACCTTGGACAAGTTCCTTGACCCTTTGAAGCCTCGGTTTCTATATTATAACACGGGATAACTGTATTTACCTTGAGTGCATATTGTTAAGGATCTGAGGGCGCAATAGCTATGTAATCTCTTAGCACCGTCCCTGGCCCATCGTGAAAAGTGGTCTTGCCTACTCTCCGATGTGGGATATTTTTGTTCCCTCTTCCTGAGAGACTCTTAGCCAGCTGGTCCTCCTGGGCATCTCCTGCTTTTCATTCAAGACTAGATCAGACACAACCTCTTGTGAAAGCAACTTAGCTACCCTCCTGCCTGTCCTCTTTCACGCCATGTGCCTGCTGCTCTCCGCCGCTGCTGTGGCACCTCTGCATGCCTCTGCTGTAGTGTGTCCATGCTAGATTGTCACTCTCTGTTGAAAAGTCTTCCTCCCACTGAGCTCTGGGCTTCCTCGGGGTTGGCAGCTTGCCTTTCTGATCACTCTTCCTAGTGTAGTGCCTGTACACATAAGTTTTCAATGAAGTTTGTTGGGTATATGAATGAAGTAAAGAAAAAACTAATTCATTAACTCATGTTTACCTACAGTATACCTGGTGGATAAAAGTCATGGCTCTATTCTACAGGGCAGTGGCAGCCACCAGGACTAAGGGACAGTGTATACCATAGTCTCTATCATTCAAATGCCTTTGGCTGTAAGTAACAAAAGATGCAATTCGCAATGGCTTAATAATAAGAAAATTTATTATGCCCCATAGCAAGAGATCCAGAGATATGCAAGCTCCAGAGATGGTTAATTTATTTCTTCAGTAATGTCATAGAAGACCCAGTTTCTTCCAACTCCCACCTTAGCTATCTTCATCGGGTTGCATTTTTCTTCACGGTAACTCTCCTCAGAGCGAGAAGTAAGGCACAGCTGTACTAAGCAGATCCAATCCAGATAATATGACAGTGGCTGCTTTTTTTTTTATAAAGGGGAAAACCTCTTTTAGAACCCCCGGCCCTACCTGGTAGATTTCTGCTCATGGTTTTGGTCAGAACTAAGTCATGGGTCCTTTAGAAAAACCAGTTATTAGCACAGGGAAAGAGAATGCTATGAACAGCTTAGGGCAAACACGTGGTCATGAATAGGACATGTTGCCAAGCAGATTGGAGTTATGCTAGAAAGGGAGAAGCGCGGGGATACAGTTATGTTGGATAAGCAGCCACACAGCTTGCTGCTGTGTGCATTTATTCATTCAACAGATATTATCTATTATATACCCAGCATTGTGCTGTAGGTTGTGGACAGTAGAGAACAAGAGAGACAAGATCCCTCCCCTGCCAGGCCTTCCCCTCACCCCCTGCGCTTTGAGATGGAGAGGGTGTTCAGGCCTCCCCGCTTCACCCTCTGAGGTGAGGAGGCCTCCAGGGCCTCGCATCTCAGCATGGGACTGACAGGCTTGCCCTGACCTCTCGCAGGCATGAACACCGCTGTCTGGGTCGTGACACACATGGGCATTTATGTGGGCGCCAAAGTCTTCCTCATCTACGAGGTAAGGCCGAGGTGAGCTCTGTGTATGTGGGGAACAGGAGCCTCCTGGGGTGCAGGCTGGGGTCTGGTCTGTGTGGGTCACCCTGGGAGCCTTCGGGTGACCCTGGTGGAGCTAATGTTCTAGATGTTCCAGTAAGGAAAGAGACGGTGGCCATGTAAACAAATTAACAAGATCCTTGTAGAGTGCCGTAACTGTCATAAAGAAATCAGCAGAGCAGTGGACAGACTGTGAACAGGGCCTGCACTGGAGGTGGACGTGGAAGGTCCTTCTGAGAAGGTAACATCTGATGAAGTAGGGAGCAACAAGTCCGGGGCAGATCAAGAGAGAAGACTCCAAGCAGAGCCAACAGCAAGCGCCAAGGCCCCAAGGCAGCAATGAGGTGGCTATGTGGCTGGAGCAAAGTCTGTGCCTAATGACTGATCAAACGTTGCTTCTGGCACCCAGCCTGGCTCCTGCCCCAAGCTGAAAACAGATCATCAGCAACAACTCTAGCTTCCCAAGCCTCTCCTGCCCAGACTTGCAGCTCCACCCAGGTCAGAGGCACCGCTGCAGGGACCACAGAACAATGGGCTCAGCTCTGTGAAGACAGGAAAAGCCACCATGGTTTTGACAAAGAACCCAGGAATGGCGTTAAAGGCTTCTTTGGGCAGTGTCCAATTTATGTAGCAATTTTCTTGCCCACATCTGCGGAGGTATAAAAAGACAGATATAAGACAAGGATGGAACTACTTTATGTGTGTTGATATCCCTTCCCCACGGTTCTGTACATCTCAGAGCTCCTGCAGCGTGGCGGGTGATCCCAGTGGCTCCTATTTCACCTGGAGGCAGGACGGTCCTGCTGCCATGTATGGCAGCTCTGCCAGGGCTGAGGAGGCAGAGACTGTAATTCTCAGTTTGGTGTCCTCATCCCTACCACTTTTCTGCCACTGAGTTTTTGGGTGGGCATAAGTTCACTGGCAGCCTGGGTTCCCAGTCTTACTCTCCTCCAGGCCTGGTAGCTCTTCTTTCCTGCAGTGAAAACCTCTCCAAGGGTTTTAATGATCCTGCCCAGTTCTGGCCTGCCACACCCATCACAGCCTGGTCAGTCCAGAGAGCACTGAGTCCTCCTGCTTCCTCTGTCAGCAGTGACATCAGGCATCTTCCCTAGGCTTCCTCTAGAAACTGGTCCCTTTTTGTCCCTCTTCCAGGTAGCCTTTTCCCCCCAATGTTGTTAATGGATTCATTTGATATCTTGTTTTCCTTTGAAGCTTTTGTGAAACTCGTGTAGACTCATGGAGCATCCAAGTGAGGTAACATCACCATCAGTGCTCCTTCCCTGGCTCACTGCCTCGGGAAACCAACCTGGTAGGTGTTTCTGAGACTCTCAGTGTCTATGGAAGTCCCTGGGGATTTCTCACTCAAATCTGCAGAGTGTTTAGTCTTCCTGGACTTTTGGCTCTAGGCAGTTTGCTTGGAAGTATTGAAGGAGAGTAGCTCCCTGACCCCCATGTGATAATATTATAGGGCCTCCGAGCATGCTTGTTTGGCATTCTAGGGGCTGGGAGATTGGTGAGACACCCCAGATGTCTGCTTGACTTCAGGGTGGCTGATAAGAGTAGAGACCACCACCCAAGACCCGGAACCACAGCTTCCTCTGACTTGCAACTGTGCTGCTGCCTGGGATGGATTCCTTTCTTCTTAAGGTTGAACTTTCTCTTAAGGAGTCCGTGTTTGGGTGTTGTCCCTAACCACCCCACCTCCCCCACTCCCTGTCCTAAGTTCTGCAGGCACCAGGGACCCCAGTTGTGGACACAGCGGGGTTCTTTCCCTGGAGCTCCAGAATCCAGGTAGAATCTGGGAAGGGTGGGAAAAGAGGTCATTCCATCATTTGGACAAACCTAAATCTAAATTTAGCCCCAGCCTGCTACAGAATATCAGTATGAAAGAAACTTTGGACGTTATTAGGTCAACTGCTTCATTTTGCAGATGAGAAAACAGAGGCCCAGAGAGGTGAAGTGGTTGGACTAAGAACATGGACCTCATGGCATGAGGAACATGGTCTCCATTCACTGTGCCTTCTGCCCTTGTTGCTTTTGAATTTTATAAAAGGTCCTTTACATTCAAAAACCTCTTCTTTCTGTTCCCCTGCCCACCCTCTACCTCATAGAACTTCTGATAAGATGCCTAGGCCATGAGTGGCATTCTTGGGCTGTCTTGAGTGTGAAGACACCGTTGTGGCTAGCCTCCTTGATCACATATGGGGCATCGACACATATTTATTGAATCAGATTAGGACATAATTTTCCTTTTTTTTTTTGAGACAGAGTTTCACTCCTGTTGCCCAGGCTGCAGTGCGATGGCACAATCTCAGCTCACCGCAACCTCTGCCTCCTGGATTCAAGCAATTCTACTGCCTCAGCCTCCCAAGTAGCTGGGATTACAGGTGCCTGCCACCATGCCCAGTTAATTTTCTATTTTTAGTGGAGACGGGGTTTCTCCGTGTTGGTCAGGCTGGTCTCGAACTTCTGACCTCAGGTGATCTGCCCGCCTCAGCCTCCCAAAGTGCTGGGATTACAGGCGTGAGTCACTGCACCTAGCCAATTTTCGGTTTTTTAATTCTCCAATAGTATATTAATAGAACTACTGCAAAAATAAAAGTGCATATTTTCCACTTAAATAATTAGGATAAATCAACTTAGATTGTTATTTTTCCTGCAGGACTTATAGCTTATAATGGGCTAAAAAGCACTGTGACTGTTGGCCAGGCATGGTGGCTCACGCCTGTAATCCCAGCACTTTGGGAGGCCGAGGCGGGCAGATCATGAGGTCAGGAGATCAAGACCATCCTGCCTAACATGGTGAAACCCCATCTCTACTAAAAAAAAAAAAAAAAAAAAAATTAGCCGGGAGTGGTGGTGGGTGCCTGTAGTCCCAGCTACTCAGGAGGCTGAGGCAGGAGAACGGCTTGAAGCCGGGAGGCGGAGCTTGCATTGAACCAAGATCGTGCCACTGCACTCCAGCCTGGGCAACAAAGCGCAGCCTGGGCGACAGAGCGAGACTCTGTCTCAAAAAAAAAAAAAAAAAAAAAAAAAAAGAAAAGCACTGTGACTGTGGCCATTTAACACGAACTCCAGAAAGTGTTCTCCATACCATATTTTGTGAAAAGCTGCACAAAGGTGGATGCATGGAAAATTGAAGGTTTGCCTGATCCTCTACCAGGGAATCCTGGTTCTGTGGAGCAGCCAGAGCTATGACTGGTCTCCAGGACAGGAATGTGCCTGCTCCCTGATGAAAGTGCCTCTCTGTGGCCTCAGGGCCTCTGTGAGGCAAGGCAGAGCTCCTGTCCCTGCATGAGCACACCTGGGGCTTCTGGAGTGGCTGAGACACTTATGCTCCCTGCTTCCTGCTTCCTGGAGCAGAATTTAAGGAAGACTACTGGGCTTTTGCCTCAGGAGACCAGACGAAACAAAACCTCCTTTCAGAGGGGCATTCTTCTGACTTTTTCTTCAAGTGGAATTGTGACTGTAGGTTTGGGTTTAAACATTGAATTTCAATTTTGCATACACACACCAAGAGGCCTCGGGGCAATGGGGGTGTTTGAAATGTACACCAGCCCGAGTCCTCTACCTGCCAAGTGTTCGATTAAGCTGCTTAGGTCTGTTTCCACCATCCTGTCTTTCAAATATTTATGTGGCAGATTATAGGCAAGCTTCAAAGGCAAGGAAATGCAAATCTGTTCTATAAATCATGGAATAACACAGCTGCTGTCTTCCTCAGTGTGACAGCTTACGAATGCCAGCATTTCTGTCTGCAGAAGGGGTGGTGGGAATGGGCTTCTCGAGTGCAGCCAGGCCTGTGTGCGTGCCTCTGTGTGTGTGTGTGTGTGTGTGTGTTGGGAGTAAGGAAGAGAGTAGGGAATACTAATAATATTCGCATTTTTGCAAAACAGCAGTTTTTTTGTTGTTTAAATTTCCCAGCAGTTAAGGAGTTAATTTATTTTGCTAATCTTAAAGAACTGTGGCGGGATAAAACCTCACCTGGGATCTGAGGCATCCAGAAAACTAGAGATGAAAATGGCTTTCGGTTTTGGGGAAATATACCTAGAACGTGAAGTAAGGGGAGAGAAGTCAACAGCAATAACTTTGGAGATTCCAAAATGAATTTAATTTAGTCTAAATGAATAAAAAGGTAATTGTGCATTGCAAATACTTATGCAAATTAAGTTTTGCCCCCAGGGTCTTAACAATCTGCCAGTGAAGCCCCCAGTGTGCCAAAGATTAGACTTTTGTGGGCTCTTTTTGGCTGTTGCCATGAACACATCAACTTGGTACATTGGTGTTCAGTGACCCATTAACATCCACCAAGACCAGCACTGGGGTTTATGGTCCTTGCCCAGCAGCTGGTTTTGGCCTGGTGTCATTCTAAGGAAAAACCTGGGAAAGCTGCAGTCAACAGCGTGCAGGGACCCAAAGGAAGATGCTGTATAAGACAAAATGAGTGGGGATAATGTTTGCCATGTATTAGTCAGGATTCTGTTGGAAGTGACTCAAACTCACTTAGGCAATAGGGGGAATTTTCTGGGTCACTGAAGGGAACATTGAATAACCAAATCATGGGAAAGGAACGAAAGTAGTTGGGCTCGGGAACAGTTGGAACAAAAACTGGAATGCTACTAGGACTGTCTTCCATCACCTGTCTTTACTTTTTCTCTGTGCTGGCTCCTAACATGGCTGCATATTAGGACTAGTAGATTTTGTGCCTAACGACTTTTCCTATTATAAAGACTGTTTTGCACCTGACAACTTTTGTCTCTGTAGAATCCTATTTTGAATAATCCCAGAGAAGAAATTTATGATTGGTTGAGCTGGGATCAGGTGTCCATGCCTGGACCAATCAACTGTAGGAAGAGGACAGAGAGTCATATAAAAACATGGCAGCTCTTACAGTAGTCATGTTGATGATGGGTGGCTTTCCCAAAAAAAAAAAAAAAAAAAAAAAAAAAATGGAGTGGGGAAGCTTTGGACAGACAATCCAGTAAGCATCTACTACATTCTAGAGAGAGCTGGAAAAAAGACCAAAGAAGGCAAAGAAAGGGGGCCAGAAAAGATGCTGTGATGACTGAGTTTCATGTTGGAATTCATTGACTGACTCCTTGACATTCAGTATTCCATAGGATTCCCTAATGACACTAAATGCTCCTGGTTTTTCTATTTTTCTGATGGCTTTTATTCTGTCTCCTTGATTGTTCTAGAGCCTTCTCTTCTCTGCACTGAGAATCTCCTCAAGATTACAGGCCCTTAGTTTTGTATCTTGCCTCTAGAGAAGACAAATAGATAGCTTCTTTCCAACTGCATAAACAGTATTCCCCGTCAGCACCCTCCTCTTACCTTCCAGAAGAAATCTACACTTGGATTTCCTTTAGTCACATTTAATGCCTTTCTAAAAAAGTGTGGTTCCTGAACCAGTCACATGAGAATTACCTGGAAGCTGATTGGAAACGCAGAATCTTGGGCCTTATCCCAAAACTGCTGAATCAGAATCTGCATTCTAACAAGATGACCAGGTACTTAGTAAGTCCATTAATTTGGAAAGCACCACTTTAAGCAATTAGAAAGGGAACTCATAATCAATCTGCTCTCAGTGGCGGAATAAATGTTTTTTCACAATTTTCCTACCAGGTCAATGGCAACCCTGTCTAGAAACCCAGATTCACAACAACTCTCAAAATTACTTTTCCAATACTTTCTTGTCTTCATTACCTATGTCCAATCTGTTACCAATTTCAACCTATTAATTCCACTGTCCAGTAGGTCTGTTTTTCCTAACCATGCCTTCCTCACTTTCTGCAGGCTCTAATAGATGCATTTGCCAGTCAGCCTCCTCATTTAAAAAATGGGTCAAATAATGCTTACAATGCCTCCTATGCATATTTACACACAATACAAATTTAATGTGTAATTATCTTCATCCTGGTAGGACTGGTTTTCCACTATGGCTTTGTACACAGTTGTAAGGGATGTTGCAAATAACGTATTATTAACTATAAAGTGCCAAAATCTATGAACAATTTTGATTTTAAATAAATTCGAAGGGATTAAAGATTATTTCTAAAATTCTTTTCCCTTATCTGCACTTTAATATGCTATAATGAATAACAGAGAAAGTGGTGGAATAATACCTGGTAGGCCAGGAATTATAGATAGCAGTGTCTTACATATGAGTATCATCTATGATAGAGGTCAGCAAACTCTTTCTGTAAAAGGCCAGATAGGATTTTAGGCCTTCTGGGCCATATGGTCCCTGTTATAACTACTCAACTCTACCATCATAATGAGGAAGCAGCCAGAGGCAATACATTGCACATT